AAAAAAAAAAAAAAAAAAAAAAAAAAAAAAAAAAAAAAAAAGGCATACCCTAAACCTAATAAATATGTCCATTGCAGTTTTATTGAGGAAAAAAAAATAAAAAATAAATATCGAAAAGCGCGCAAAAGAATTATTTTTGACTTTTTCCAGAATCACATCATAATGAATGATTTTTCATAAAATTTTCAAACAAATCTCATCAAATGAAACATTATTTTGTACAGCTAAGAGGAAAATGAGAGGAAATACGATCATGAAATCGGATACATCAAGTGCAGGAGTCAAGTAGCCGAATGTATATAAAACCCACTAGTTAAGCAATTTAAAGACAAGAAAAAAAAAAAAAGTTCACATCACACAGAAAGAGAAAGAAATCACGCGTACGAGAGGTAAAATATTGTCATTCGCTTGATTCAATTGAAAAGTTAAAACATGAAATCTCGACGAGGTAGAACACAGCTCCATCACCAAGTACTACTTACAAAACCATGAGTCAAAGTTTCGCTTCAATACCGATTAACCGATTTTTTCCAATTTACTTAAACTCCTCAATATTGTTTTTTGTTTCAAAATGTCCCGTTTGGCCCGTCCGTTTTTCATGTACTTATTTCTCAAACAACCGAACACGCAACTGATCTGCCCTTATTATATACCTTGAGAGAAACACAATGCAGGGATATAATATAACGTATGCCTGGCGGACACGCATGCTTATAATATATAATACCCATACGATGCATCATGGCAAGTGTGTCTCGCCTACGCGCGCACATACACACATAACTGCGACTCCTCCGTCGATCTCCGACTCTCTCGGGGTAAAACTATATACACACTTTGCTCTCCCGTAGGTATAAACTTACAATCAGTCGCGTCTTGATGACCGAGTCGGTCTGACCGGCTCAGGTGTACACAACTGTATAAATATACATCCTCCGCGGCCCGGTTACCGGAACAACGATTTTCATCAAACACTCGGTACTTACCCGTACCACTGTTATTGAATATTTCTTTTTATATATATTACAATATGTTTTCCGTTACCGATCCACGTCCGATCGGCGACAAAGTGTTTGTGCACGTGCGAAACGATCGATAAGACGCGCATCATCATTGACACTCGGAGATCGGTAACGAGAACAACTCAGGTGAGAAATACTTTGTACAGTCCCTACAAATCATATACACCTTTTTTTTTATTATTATTATTATTATTATTATTTTGTTACTTCGTTTTGCGGTGAAATTCGCTTTTCCACTTTTAATTTCCTCAATTTCCCCGTTGAAGTCATACCTTCTCGGATTCGAATGTATGTGTATATACGCGCAGATATATATACATTCGCGGGGCGCAATTAAGCTCGATTCTAGGATTTTTATAAATAATCGGCGCACACGCGTCCAGTGCGGCGGAAAGCCCACGCGTGTGAGTTTATGAAACGCAGGCGAGTACAGCTGTGTTAATGTGCGGGTCGAGTTGAATATAAAAAAAAAAAAAAAAAAAACAACCATATACGTATACAATCGTGAGGTATGTGGAAAAATATCCACGTCGTCGTATCGACGGAAATAATGTTATTTCAGCTCTTTTGAGGGACGTGAAAAGAGGAAGGAAAAAAAAAAAAAAAACCAGTTGATCGGTCGCTGGAGTTTTACGTAAAGGGAATATAAAAAAGGCGTAGCGGCAGAAAAAGCCATTACGGACTATCCAACTATATAAAATATATATACATGTATCGTATACACTTACGTGGTGTATGGTACATTATGTTGTAAGATAGTGACGTGTGTGTCGCGGCTACAGTGACTCACCGGGAACAGTACTTTTCGATCTTTGTCTTTGGAAGAAGAAGAAAGCTTCTGTATCTATATACACGCTCGTACCTACTTGTACCTTGCATATAGCTTGATTTATTTTTTTTTTTTTTTTTTTTTTTTTTCATTCGTGCTTAAAAATAAAATTTGTTCGTGCACTGTTTGGTTTAATTGCCTAATCCTTACCTGTTCGTCTTTTTGTTCTAGGAATAGGGGATTCAGCTTCTTGTAAGGAAATTGGTTTTGTTTCAGCAAGGTCTCGTTGCAAAGCTGTGATTAGCGATAAGTCATTAAAACGAAAACAAGACAAAAAAGAAAAAAAAACTGTTGAAAAAAATAAATTGCATAAAAAAAAATTGCTTGCCAATGTTTACTCTAATGAAAGTTTATGAATTTGATTGAACCTTTTACAATTTTTATATATTACATGTATATTTGTTAATCCGATTTATTTTTTATGATCGTACGAATAAAAAAAAGCAATTTACAACAATAAAATATATATTACTTAATTTTATAAATAAATCAATCACCTTCATCACTGCTCCCTGAATACGCACCCAACAACGAAAGACCACTGGTCGTATTTTGAGTACTTACACTGTCTGTTTTTGATGAATTTTCACTACTGTCTTTATCTTTATTTACAATGTCAACACCGTTAGCTTCCACTGCCACATTTTTAGGCTGCTCTTGAGATTTCACTCTAATACCCAAGTTTTTCCTCCTGTCTGCAATACTTGCATAATTTACCTTGGGTGCTGTTTTTTGCATTTTATTGGACGGTTCATCAGTCACAACAGCAGCAGCAGCAGCAGCAGTAGTTGCAGTTGCATCGTCCTCGAGTTCGACCGTTTCTTCTTCCACAACTTTGCCGATCGTCCTCTTTTTGTTTTTGAATATTTCCTTGACCAGCTGCTCGTCCAGTTCCTCCTGCTCCTTTTCTGTTCTCTGCCTCTCGGCACTCGTGTCGTACTGCTCTAGCATCACATCGTAATCAATCGTCTGCTGCCGCCTATTGAGATCTTTTAGGTCCTCGAGAGACTCCAAGAGATCCAATTCCTGTTTCGACTGCTGAGTACGCTTCTCCAGGAGCTTCATGGGGTTGGTGGCCTCCTCTTCCTTCTCCTCGTCCTCCTCGCGTTGAGCTTGCTCCTCGGCCAGTTTGAGAGCCATAAAGTTCCTTGTCGCGCCAGCCTCGATCTCGTAGTCGGTGTTCTTTGGGTCCGTCTTGAAGGATATCTCCTGCAGGCACCTGGTGCACTTTATGTAAAACCTGTAGATGCGAATTCCCAGGTAAGTGTCGCCCTCGACGTCCTCTTTGCGGGCGTTGAATTTTTTGCCCTTGTATATGTACTCTCCGCAGGTTTTGCACCTCATATTGAAGGGGGCCATCAATCGAACCGTGTATTGCCGATTGCGGGCCAATTTCATGCGCGGAATCTTTGACGGATCAAAGTCCGGTGGGTAGTATTTCTGCAGGATCAAGATGAGCATGTTGATTAATCAAACGTATAATTTAAATTGAAAATTATTTACGGTAGGCACATAACCTAACTACGTGTCACTACAACTATTGGATGTTACAGATGATTTCGTTGGAATTTCAACTACTTACGTTCAAAACTTTTCTTTCCGACATGCTGCGGTTGTTGTTGTTGGCTACTTGTTAACAAAAAGTGCAGTGCACCAAGTAAAATGTAGATATACTCGCCAGCTGACTTGTTCGATGTTGTTATTACTTTTTGTTTTGTTCGTTGGCGTGAAAAAGGAGCAATGCCATTTTTGACGTCTACTGCTGTATTTGATGGCAAGGAAGAACTCCGTAGTGCCGGTATACACAAAGATACCGCATTTGAGTAACCATCATGCAGTATACCATAATTAATTATATTATTTATTTCTAGAATTTTTTTATAAACAAAGTTTACTATAGGAATATCAACTAAAAATACTAATTTTTAACAATTAAAAAAATGTTATCTTGACACTTGGTAAGTACCACTTTTTAAGAATATTTATTTATTTATTTATTTAACTAACGGGTCAGTGACCCAATTACATAAGTTTACAAATTTGGTGTAAGCATATAATTATATCTTGGATTCTGGAAGTTGTGTGTAAATAAATGCGTTTTTATTTAAGTCAACAACTGGTGGTCGATACATAGTATAAAAAAAAAAACTTTACTCTGCAACAAGTAGTTGAATTTGTGATCATTGAAATTTTTATTGTAAAAATTACATTTTTCTGCTGTTATGGATTATAATAATCTAAAAGTAAATAAAAAGGTACAAAAAAGTTGTATTCCAACAACGGTATTATCTATATGATTTTTCTTTATTGTCAAACGATAATTTGTAAAACCAAAGCGAAAAAACCAGTACTTCCTGATGTAAAAAAAAAAAAAAAAAAAAAAAAGGCATACCCTAAACCTAATAAATATGTCCATTGCAGTTTTATTGAGGAAAAAAAAATAAAAAATAAATATCGAAAAGCGCGCAAAAGAATTATTTTTGACTTTTTCCAGAATCACATCATAATGAATGATTTTTCATAAAATTTTCAAACAAATCTCATCAAATGAAACATTATTTTGTACAGCTAAGAGGAAAATGAGAGGAAATACGATCATGAAATCGGATACATCAAGTGCAGGAGTCAAGTAGCCGAATGTATATAAAACCCACTAGTTAAGCAATTTAAAGACAAGAAAAAAAAAAAAAGTTCACATCACACAGAAAGAGAAAGAAATCACGCGTACGAGAGGTAAAATATTGTCATTCGCTTGATTCAATTGAAAAGTTAAAACATGAAATCTCGACGAGGTAGAACACAGCTCCATCACCAAGTACTACTTACAAAACCATGAGTCAAAGTTTCGCTTCAATACCGATTAACCGATTTTTTCCAATTTACTTAAACTCCTCAATATTGTTTTTTGTTTCAAAATGTCCCGTTTGGCCCGTCCGTTTTTCATGTACTTATTTCTCAAACAACCGAACACGCAACTGATCTGCCCTTATTATATACCTTGAGAGAAACACAATGCAGGGATATAATATAACGTATGCCTGGCGGACACGCATGCTTATAATATATAATACCCATACGATGCATCATGGCAAGTGTGTCTCGCCTACGCGCGCACATACACACATAACTGCGACTCCTCCGTCGATCTCCGACTCTCTCGGGGTAAAACTATATACACACTTTGCTCTCCCGTAGGTATAAACTTACAATCAGTCGCGTCTTGATGACCGAGTCGGTCTGACCGGCTCAGGTGTACACAACTGTATAAATATACATCCTCCGCGGCCCGGTTACCGGAACAACGATTTTCATCAAACACTCGGTACTTACCCGTACCACTGTTATTGAATATTTCTTTTTATATATATTACAATATGTTTTCCGTTACCGATCCACGTCCGATCGGCGACAAAGTGTTTGTGCACGTGCGAAACGATCGATAAGACGCGCATCATCATTGACACTCGGAGATCGGTAACGAGAACAACTCAGGTGAGAAATACTTTGTACAGTCCCTACAAATCATATACACCTTTTTTTTTATTATTATTATTATTATTATTATTTTGTTACTTCGTTTTGCGGTGAAATTCGCTTTTCCACTTTTAATTTCCTCAATTTCCCCGTTGAAGTCATACCTTCTCGGATTCGAATGTATGTGTATATA